GCACTGGCTGTTCTTCCAGAGGACCCAGGTTCAATTCCCAGCACACACATGGCAGCTCACCACTGTCTGTAACTCTAGTTCCAGAGGATCTGACCCTCACACAGACAAATGTGCACATAAAATTGAAAGAAAGAAAGAAAAAAGAAGCCCCCCCCCAAAAAAAATTTAAGGCTAGGTATATTCTTAGCCTGCATTAGAGATTATTCTGAGTACTTTTCATGCATTTTCTCATTTCATCACAATAAAGTGAAATTAAATTTAATTCAACAAATGTTAATTATTCATTGGACACCACAGTATGTATTTAAATTATCTCCATTGAACAAAAAAATGAAACTGAGGCACAGACTAATTAAGTAATTGACAGAAGGTCACAATGCTGGCATGTGACACAGCCTGGATTATATGCCTACATATTTTGTTTTCAGAGCCCAAATTCCTAGGTGTTTTACTTAATTACTGCCCTATATCGTCAATGATAAGAATTGGGGAAATAATGTAGTAAGAACTGGTTATCTCACTTATCTGTTCCATGTAGGAAAAATGAATCCTCTTGCTAAGGGAAAGAAGACAAATTGGAGCAGAGGGAAAGGTAAAGAGAATGGAGGATGGTAGGGCACACCTGTCCTTCCAGTGCCCAGGAGGTCGGGGCAGGAAGATGATGAGTTTGAGGCCAGCCTGGGCTACATATAAAACAAACAGAAAGAAAAATTCCCTGGCTCCAGGTGACTCTGTAAGACCTGGGCCTCCAAGAAAAATAGGAAAAGCCCACAAGCAACTTTTTGGTGAGCAAAACTTTCAAGTCATGCAACATTCTAAGTAAATTTTTTAAACAGAATGTTCTGGTATTCAAAACCTTTATCCAGCAAGCTGCCCCTGCCAGTGCTAATTTCTAGCATACCTCACCATTGCCTTATCGTTAAAATTGAGCTAAATGAAAATATCAACCAGAATTCATGTTGGAATTGCTATCACCTGTAATTGGTTGTTTTATTCTTTACTCTTCGGGGAGCCTGCCACCCAGCTCCCAAATAAACACATAGAGACTTATTCTTATTTATGAATGCCTGGCCTCAGCTTGGCTTGTTTCTAGTCAGCTTTTCTTAAATTATCCTGTCTACCTTTTGCCTCTGGGCTTTTTATCATTCTCTATTCTATATTCCTTTCTTTACTTCTCACTCCAGTGCTGGCTGTGTAGCTGAGTAGCGGGCCCCTGATGTCCTCTCCTTCTCCTTTTTCTTGGCCCCCCAATCTTTTCTTCCCAGATTTTTTCTCCTTTTGATTCTCTCTGTGTGCCCACCCAGCCTATCCTTTCTCCTGCCTACCTATTGACTGTTCAGCTCTTTATTAGACTAATCAGGTGTTTTAGATAGGCAAAGTAACACAGCTTCACAGAGTTAAACAAATGCAACATATCTTTGCATCATTAAACAAATATTCCACAGCATAAACAAATATTACACATCTTCAATTTAATATTCTACAACAATCACCAGCTATTTCCAGTGACTGACTACAGACTTTGAAGTTCAAAAATGTCAATAAAATACCCTATGAGAATCACAGGGATAGATAAAATGTGAAGAAGTATTGAATATTTTATATATTACATGAAAGTTATGTGCTAGGAGTATTTTAATCAGAATTTACTTTTTTATTTTATAATTAATTTAATTTTACATATCAGCCACGGATTCCCCTGTCCTCTCTCCTCCCACCCCCCAGCCTTCCCCCCAATCCACCCCCATTCCCACCTCCTCCAAGGCAAGGTCTCCCCTGGGGACTCAGCTCAGCCTGGTAGATTCAGTTGAGGCAGGTCCAGTCTCCTCCTCCATATACCCAGGCTGAGCAAAATGTCTCAGTATAGGCCCTAGGTTCCAAAAAGCCAGCTCATGCACTAAGGACAAGTCCCAGTCCCATTACCTGGGGGCCTCCTAAATAGTCCAAGCTAATCAACTGTCTCACTTATCCAGAGGGCCTGATCCAGTTCCATGGGAGCTCCTCAGCTATTGGTTCATAGTTCATGTGTTTCCACTACTTTGGTTATTTGTCCCTGTGATTTTTCCAATCATAGTCTCAATATCCCTTGCTCATATAATCCCTTCTCTCTCTCTCTCTCTCTCTCTCTCTCTCTCTCTCTCTCTCTCTCTCCAATTAGACTCCTGAAGCTCCACCTGGGGCTTGGCCGTGGATCTCTGCATCTGCTTCCATCAGTCACTAGATGAGAGTTCTGTCATGACAGTTAGGGTGTTTGGCCATCTGATCATCAGAGTAGGTCAACTCAGGCTTTCTCGAGACCATTGCCAGTAGTCTATTGTGGAGGTATCTTTATGTTTCTGGGAACCTCTCTAGCACTCTGCTTCTTCCTATTCCCATGGGGTCTTCATTTATCATGGTATCTCTTTCCTTGTTCTCCCACTCTGTTCCTGATCCAGCTGGGATCTCATGCTCCCCTAAGCTCTCTTTCCCCCACCCCCGACCCTTGCCCTCCATTAACCCCCCTCATGTCCCATTTGCTCATGTAGATCTCATCCATTTCTCTGTCATTGGGCAATCCCTAGGTCTTTCTCAGGGTCCTCTTTGCTAGGTAGCCTCCCTGGAGTTGTGAGTTGCAGTCTGGTTATCCTTTGCTTTACAGCTAGTATCCACTTATAAGTGAGTACATACCATGTTTGTCTTTCCGAGTCTGGGCTACCTCACTCAGGTTGATTTTTCCTAGTTCCATCCATTTGCCTGCAAACCTCATGATGTCATTGTTTTTCTCTGTTGAGTAGTACTCCATTGTGTATATGTACCACATTTTGTTTATCCATTCTTCAGTTGAAGGGCATCTAGGTTGTTTCCAGGTTCTGGCTGTTACAAATAATGCTGCTATGAACATAGTTGAACATGTGTCCTTATGGTATGATTGAGCATTCCTTGGGTATATGCCCAAGAGTGGTATAGCTGGGTCTTCAGGGAGATTGATTCCCAATTTTCTAGGAAAACATCACATTGATTTCCAAAGTGGTTGTACAAGTTTGCAGAATTTACAATAAATTTAAAAATATACATGGGTGAATATAGATATATGCATTCTCTTGGAAAGTGTCAGATACTTATCTCCACACCACTGTCCAGATTCATCACTTCTGAATTTAGCTATCCCAATGAAAAAGAAACTTCTCTAGTATTGTGTTATCTGTATTAACTGTAAAAAGTACCAGAGATAATTTATTTTTTTTAAAAGGAAAGAAGGGGGAAAAAAGGGTTTCTTTTGGCTCAAGGTTGTAGATGTTTGAATCCAGAATGAATTAGCCCCATTGGCTTTGGACCTGTGGCTGAGAGCTAGTGATGGAGCAAGCATGTTCAAGATCCAGACTCTAAGAAAAACCCAAAAACATGGAGTACTGTCCAGGAGGTATGAAGAAACATAGACTTGGTAGTCATGCTTCATGGTTTGCACACAGGTGTCCAGGGGACTGAGGAGCTGAGCTCCAGACAGCAGCCCTCAACTTCCAGAACCCTTCCACAGCTGTGTAATTCTAGTCGTAACCTTGAGGCAAAGTAAATTGTACATTAAAAAAGTCATTCCAAGGAAGATATTTTTATCACAAAAGACCATTATGTTGCATTCCATTTGCAGTAAAAAGCCCTGTTATAGCTTTAAAATTGGTCCAAAATGTCTCCTAGTGCAAGAACATCCTTTGCATGTGAATGTAATGAAGACTGTCCATACTACACACCATATCTGAGAGAAATAAGGGCAAGCATCTTCTATGACTGTAGGGTTCTTCAGAGAAAAAAAATCTCACTTCCAAAAGTAAAGACACAAGAAAGAGGTAGTTCAGGGCTAGCAGATGACTTAGAGGCTAAAAAGCAGCTGCCTTGCAGGCCTGAAAACTTGAGTTTGATTCCCAGATTCCATGCTGGGAGGAGAGAACAAACTCCCAAATGTTGTTGTCTGACTTCCACATACATAACATATCATGTGTACACACACACACACACACACACACACACACACACACACACACCTACACAATTTTTTTAAGAAAAGGAAGTAGATCAAAGAGTCTTGGATGTATAAACAAGAATCAGAAAAAAAAGATGTTGTTTAAAGTGTGTGTATGAACCGAAAAGAAAATAGACACTCAGAAAGTTAGAGAAGTCAATGATGTCACATCAGAAGAGAAATAACAATTTGAAATAGTCTACAAGACTTCTTGACCTACACCAGAATCTGCTTGTTGGGTGGGAGAAAGTTTGGGGTGATTTAGGAGCTGTAAGGCAGTGAGGTTACATCAGAGGAGGAGAGAGGGATGAGACATGATGCTGAGATTTAAGTACCATAGAGTTCTGGACTTGTTGACCAAGCCAGGAGTCAGAACTTCTCTTCAAAATTGAAGTATAAAGGAAAGACATTGATTTTTTTTTTAGTTTTAAGATCTATTTATTCTATTTTTATTTATATCTGTGTGTGTGCATACACTCTAGCATTTATGTGACCATGTGTGCAATTGCTCACAAAGGCATTGGATCCACTGGAGGCAGTTGTGAGCTGTCCAATGTGAGTGATAGGAACTAGCTCTGGTCTAAAGAACAAAAGCACTTCTGAACCACTGAGTTGTTGCTCCAGCCCCTCTCTAAGGCTTTTTAAAGTAGGATGTGGCATATTCCCTTAATTAGGGAAGTCATTACTTGTATTATTAATAGGCAATTGATAAAAACATGACTTTGTGAAAGATCTAGATTGTTGTTCAGAAGTAGTAAAAAAAAAAATTAGGATGTGTTCAGTTTTCACTTTTTATAGCTACAAGAGCCAAGAAACTGGTTGTCCTGATAAAAGCAACTTAAGAAAGAAGGGTTTATTTTAGTTCACATTTCCAAGTGGCAGTCCATCATAGCAGGAAGCTACAGCAGGAGATCTTGAGGGAGTTGGTCATATGACATCCATGATTAGGAAGAGCAATAGATGAATGTCAGCCATCAGCTCACTGTCTTCTCTTCATTCAATCCAGGGCCAAGACCAAGAAATTGTACTGCCCACAACCAGGCCTAGTCTTCCCACCTCATTGAATCCAAGAAAATCCTTCATAGAAATGCACAGAGGTCAACCCAATCCAGACAATTCCTCATGGAGACTCTCTTCCCAGGTAACTTTAGCTTGCATCAAGTTTACAATTAAAACCAACCATCATAGGGCTGGAGATATGGCTCAGAAGTTAGAGCACAAGATAGTCTTCTGGCCTCAAGGAACACCAGACATTCAACTGGTGCACACACATGTATGTAGGCAAAACAAGCTTACACCTAATATAAATTAAAAAAAAAAACTAACCATCACAGCTATCACATATAAAGCTAGGTAGCAGCAATAGAAACTTGTAGTCACAATGTTAGCCCATTTTTATAGCATGAACACCTTGCTAATGTGTGAAATAAGGACAGAGGGAGGGGTGAGATGATTGTAAAAGGCTGAAGCCATTATCTGGGCAGAGTTCAAAAAGGACAGAGGGTGTAGGAAGAAAGGACAGGCTGGAGAGGCATCTTAGAAATCAGCAGACTCCGATGGAATCAAAGTCAGTGTGGAAAGTGGAAACGAAGGAGAAAGTGGGGACCACTCCCCACTCCTGACTTCAGAAACTGGATGACCTACTGGCTGAGATGAGGAAGACCAATTAGTGAAAGTCATGTTCCAGTGGAGACATCAAGAGCTGTGCTTTGGGTCCCTTGAATTGGACACAGCCAAGGCAGTTTGGTGGTTGAGTCCAGAGCTCAACAGAAAGGCAGGGAGATGTGTCCCAAAGGAGAAGATTCTTCATTATCTTTATCTATAGTCTCAGTTCCATAACTGCCCACATGCATGACAGAGTGTGTGGCTCCATATGTGTCCCATCTTTAGCAAATGAAAAGTATTAGAAAAAAATAAAGAAAACGAGACAACCACAACAAAGAGATCAAATCTTCACAGAATGATTTATGTTATGAAGACAAAAGCAACAATCGAGCTATATTCATTAGTAGAGGGTGAGCTAAGAAAATGAAACTTAATTTAACTACTTGAAATCACTATTACAAATCTACATTTATTTTAATTTCTAATATGAAAGTATAGTTACAATAATTCAAATTGGGAAAGCATATTGCCATTTTGTATGGTCCACAGAATGATCTGTGATAGCTGTATTTTTGGATTTATATGAGTAAAGTTATTAATCATAGAGCAAGCCAATGTAAAGGATAAATAGCAAGAGATAGATGATAGACAGACAGACAGGTGGGATGATAGAGATAGATAGATAGATGGACGGACAGACAGACAGGTAGGTAGGTAGGTATGTAGGTAGGAAGGTGGGTAGGTAGATAGGTAGAGATAGATGACAGATAGATGATAGATAGATAGATAGATAGATAGATAGATAGATAGATAGATAGATAGATAGAAGATAGATGATTGATAGATAGATAGATAGATAGATAGATAGATAGATAGATAGATAGAAGGTGGGTGGGTGGATGGGTAGATGGGTAGGTGGGTAGGTAGGTAGGTAGGTAGGTAGTATGTAGGTAGGTAGGTAGATAGATGATAGATAGATAGATAGATAGATAGATAGATAGATAGATAGATAGATA